CCTCCCTAAGGGCATGATGGCTACAGTTGCTGTCGTTGGGGGGATTAGAGTTAGTCTGGCGAGATTCTGTCTATTAGGTGCAAGCTAATAAAGAAGCTGAGCGGGACTGTCTCGTTGGATTCTTGGGCTGAACCTGACAGGGATGAATTAATCAGAAGAAAAGGGAAAGCGGTATCTTGGAACTGATACTGATAACTTAAAAAAATACTTACATATTCCATCATATTGCTAGTTTCACATTTCCGTTTACTCAACTTCCAATGCAAGCCAAGCTTAAAAAAGAAAAAGATACAGTTGGCATTATCTTAACAAGCAACACTCTTTAGACTGATGTACAAGCCTATATGTCTCTTGAACATGCTAAGATGCCACACTCTGAAGCATTAAAATTCCCATATACGCTGCCCAGCACAAGATTATTTCTGAGGTAGCTGCAAATGTCATGCTTCAGCCTCTGTATCAGCTTGCCCTTGAGATATGGAGCATGGAATACAATTCCCATCAGGCAAAGCCTCTGCAGGCAAGGCATGATGGAACTCTGATCCTGCACATCTGGAAGCACCGATTAGAATAAATATTTTCTGTGTATAGATTTTACTCAGTACTTTAATAAGAGCCGCATTAGAAACTTCAATTAGGATAACTTGCCTCCCTAGCATGGCTCGATATGAACAAGCAACTGGTTTCAATCCCTTAAAATTAAGACATTTGGCAAATAAATTAATCAAAAGAGCAGACAGTGTCTGCTTCTATCTCTTTTAGTTAATGAGATGTCCACTTGCATACACCCACAGTTCTGTGTTCCAGGATTTGAATTACACTCTCATCAAAACAGCTGTGATTTTTATATTCCTAACAGGATCTTGCAGTCCATAAATAATCATCTTTGGCTGATTAAGGGAAATATATTATTTCTTACCATAATTAAGGCAACTGCTCCTCAACTTACCTTGTGATATAATCTGTTATTTTCCCATTCTAACAACTTCTGAATAGACCTTCTAGTCTGGGAAAAAAGCAAGATTGGATGAGTTAGCTGCACTGCCTTTTCTCAGCGTTGGCTGATCTATCAGCTGCAGCCTGACCTGGGCAGGTAAGAGCTTGGCTACATCATCCCTATACTGATAACCTCCTGCCTGGTTTACTGAAGGGCAAGATACCCAGAGATGCTTCTCAAAGTGAACAAAGACCTTTAGTACAGTCACTGACCAGTATTGTACACAATTTTATAAGGGGCTTTACCGAGTCTGGGTGAAAATACATTAAACATTCAGAGTAAACTGAAAGGAAAAAAAAATAAAATGGAGCAAAGCACATTATAAATACAGTTACCTTACTATGGAATACTACAATACTAAAAACTTTTAAATACTTAAAATGAAGTCACTAAGTTATAAAACTGAATAAAATAGTAAACCAGTAAACTACCAAGTAAGTAAACTACTAAATTAATACACTGAGATGCTTAACAATAAAATACTGGTTTGAAAAATTACTAAAAGATTAACATGCTAAAATATTTAGTTTATTCCAATTACCAGTCAGTGCCAATTGTTAAATTCTTTACAGAGTCATGTACTAAATCTGGAAATCTTTATTTTGCTAAATTTTGCACTCTTTCTTGTAACAATATTGTATTTAGCACACTGCTAGACAAAATAATACTACTTGCTGTGTCATTTTAGGCTTTTTATCAACAAGTAGACATTTTGCATTAAGACTCCTCGGCTGCCATCATGACTTTTTGTATCAGCACCAGAAGTTCAACCTGAAGGATCATCTTCTCTCAAACATTTCTGCCCCAATTGTAGATTCTCTTTGAAAGCTCTTCTTTAAAAGCTGCTGTCCAAAGAGATGCAATGGATGGCCACCAGGAGACTTATTAATCTTCCATGATTTGGTTAGTTTACTGCTGCCTTTTATAATCATTTTTTATCATGGTTATTTCTTATTCTTTTATTTGTTATTTGTTATTCTTTTATTTGTTATTCTTTATTATTTTTAGATTTGTAAACTGTAACAGTGACATTTGCCATTTAGATAGAATATGCAGGTATTTAGAAAGAAATCAGAATACCATCTCAGTGAGCTACCTTAAAACACCACCCAAACGCTGCATCAAGACTAAACTGAAATTGACACACATTTCTGAAAAGGATCTCTTCGACTGCTGGCTTTTCTCAGGTAGGAAAGCCTGGCATATGAAAACACAACACTGGGAATCCCACGGCTATCCTCTGGAATGTCAACACAGAGCTCTCTGAAGGGAATGGAAGTCGTGTCCATAATTCACTGCATTTAATTCAGTAACATGCAGGACTCTTTAATATATTAATTTTATTCTGTTTTATACCTTGTTTTCTTCTTATTGTGTAAATTTCCCTGACTGTTGGAATACAGTATGTAGAAAGGGGAGGCATTTGTTTATAACAAATAAGCAAAATCCAGGAGGTGTAATAGCGATTCTTCTGTAAGATGCTAATCTTATTTATTTATTTGTTCAGTTTATATGGTTATTTGTCTTGCTATAGCAATTTTAGCAGCTAACAGCATATAAAAACACAGTCAAAATTATTAAAACAACATTTACCTGGCACACAGATAGGAAGAAGACACTTCTCAAATTTGTTTGTGAATAGTGTGGGGGAGGAGGGGGCTTCAATCATGTGGTGCTGACCATCATCTTGGCCTTTGTGACCCCCTTCCCTGTGGATATCCCACCCCCTGAAAAGCCACCTTTACCTGGGCAACCAATGACCACAAAAGCCAGTTAGAACAAATTGGGCAGTTGCGCTGATTTTGCCACAGAGCTGGTTGGCACACTTACTCTTTTGTTAAGACAGACAGCAGGCCAGAGGCTGCATCCGAGGGTGCAGCAGCAGCATAAACAGCCACAGAGAAGCCATTTTACATTGACGGGCAGATTCTTCCTTAAACATGCATTCACATGACTGATACTGATCTTGAATTCTTCAGGGGCAACCTACAAAAAAAGGACAAGTGGTGACTCCACATTGGGAACTAAAACCTGTTCTCTATCCAAATATACAGATATTGCACGACTTTCTTTTTTTCATTAAGATTAAGATTTGTGTTAATTTTAATCAATCTAAAACTGTTTTGCTTTTAATCTTGGTTATTTTTTGCTTTTGCCTCCTGCCTACACAAATGGCCTAAATATTGTAAATAATAATCCTTTGGATATTAGAAAGTAAACAAGATGAGGGATGCATCTACATATGCTAAGAGTCTATAACCGCAACAGAATCTCCATGAAATTTTACCTGAATGGGAATTAACAGAAGAATAAAAAGACACCAAGAGAATACTTCTGATATTCTCTTGGTGACAGTATATTAATCCTTTTTTCAATATTCCACTTTATATTCAATTACTGATCCCTTCAACAGAAATCAAGTATCTCAAAAGAATATAGACATTAAAATTATATTGCGATCAATTCATCACTTCTTTACACAACACACAAACATGCCATAAGCTTTAGCAGACCATGGAAGTTTATGTCATAATAATTTGGTTAGGTTTTGAGGCATTTTTATAGTGCTTCTGATGCAACAGTTTATTCATTTATTTGGTTGGTTTCAGTTTTTCTAGGCTGCCCCACTGAATTTGACTGCAGGTGATACACAGAATACACACATTCAGCCACTCCTACAATGGGCATTTTTCATGAATCCCCTTCAGGAACAGGTCAGAAAGACCAATCCCTGGATACCTCCCCTCTCCCCTCCAAATGAAGCAAAAGAGGTAGAGTGGCCAGAACTAGTTAAAAATTCCTCTCTATTTAAACTGTTTTCAACATGAAAAAAAGAAAAAGCAGCAAATCACTGACAAAAGTTCTAACACATACTTTTCTTTCAGGAAAGCTTTTCTTTTTCAATGGATTATTTCAAAATGGCATTTCTTGTACCTGCAGCCTAAAATTATGCAGACCGACTGGGCCATTTTTTGAATTCTACTTCATTCTACGCAACCTCAGAATGCAGCCATGGACAGGCCAGATAATGATCTACCAACGTAACAGTCATTTCATATATGTGCACTTTGCTCAAATGTTGTATGCTCAACGAATTTCAGAGATGACAAGAGTTACATTCTGAATTAGCAAAGGGAACTATAGTTGTACTGAAATGCAAAAAATGCCACTTTTTATTCAGGAGTTTTTTTAAGCATCCTGTAATGCTATAAATAAGAAAATGCAATTGTTCTTAAAAAACAAGCAAATCAGGTAAGGGCCCTGAGTACAAGGAGAGTTGTAAGAAATCCATCTGGCCTGAAGAGAAAAACTACATTCTAAAGAGGAGTTCCTTTTTGCCAGCATGCCATAAAAGGGACTAAGGGCGGACGGAAGGGTCATAATGTTTTACAACAGCAGGCAAGAGAGGAAGTGATCAAGCGAAAGCCAGCAGGCCTGCTCTGCTTTCTTTGACCATCATGGTCACAGCCCTATCAATCACACCTTCTGCTGAATCATAATACCAAAGGGATGTTTTATGACTTGCACTTCCCTGCATTGCTCACTAAAGTCCGTATTGTTTCAAGATCAGAGCAGGAAGCTGGACTTTTCCCCTTAAGGATGACCAACAGCTCCAGGTGGCAGGACTATGGGAGTCACATTTAAGACCATATTGCAAGCTTACATTTTTATCAAGAAGCAAAAAACAAAGATCCAGTGAGTTAACTTGTCTAAGCAGGCAAATCTAATCTAGGCATTCTGTGCTGAAAGCTTACAGAACTAATAAAATAATTAAAGGAACAGAATAAGCTTAGGGAAATTTAGAATGTAAGCAGAATTTCCTAGAAGACTGAAATGAGGTAATAACTAGTCATTTTTCTCTTATTTTGCAGTACTTTGTTTTTCAAAGTCTGTGATATCCCTCCAAGAGTTGTGTCTTAAATTTCTGTTCACATAATTATTTTATATTATCAGCACCTATAATGATATAAAAATAATAACCAGCATTCTGAAATACAGAGTCCAAACAATGGTTATACTGTAATTTGGGCTTCCACTTGAGAGTAATTGATTTAATTCAGTTCAATGTCTTATTGGGTAGATGTACAGAGAAATATGTTTACTTCCACAAATTTAAAAAAACCCCACATATTATTAATAGACAAAAAGTAGCTGTTCAACATTACAATATTACTCAGCACATTTCTAACAACTGTAATTATTCTAAGGTTCCATAAACTTTAATTACAACTGTGTTTGATTTAAAAAAAGAGAATATGTCTGATATGAATGAAACTTTGCCCAGTGCCAAAAAAGGGAATACCTGGAAAAGGACTCCAAAATATTTTACAATGGCCAACCTCATTTGAGAAGACAACCCTTTCAGATATAAAGATCTTAAGCTATTTACGTCAGAGCTGGCTCTCCGAATTAAACCTAGAGCTAGAGTCTGAAAATCAGTGAGTTCTTACATGAAACAAGTTCTTTAAACAATGCTGTAATATATGCTCAGCTTGGCTGCCACCATTTAACTATTTTTAATTTTGCATCAAAATGCCTGGGCCTGAAAGAGGATTGTCAAGCAGAACAGACGTTACTATGAGAATACACAAATGCACAAACTTTGCTATATCTGACCTAGTTTTTCCTGGATTAAAAATAGAAAGAAACCTCACTCTATCCTCAGTAAGTATACGCCATGTTTCAATTTCAGGGTAGCTTTTGCCAGGGTTCGGAGATGAAGTGATGTTTTCTGGGGAATGGATGGGCTGAAAAGGGGAATCTTTACACTCTTTTTGGATTATGTCATTGACCATATATAGGCACAGAGCAGGTCAATCAATGCTTCACTAGGCATAAGGTAGCAAATACATTCCAGCCAACATGTCTAAATACTCTTTCAAGATAAATTGAATCAGTCTGGCAAAGTACCTCCCATCTCGGTTGCCACATCAAATGAACACAACCTAGTCACCTCTATTAGAGATGCTGCCATAGACAGTAGGTATGATTCTACACTGACAAGGGAGTGATTTGATAGCCAAATGGAGCCCACTCTTAACAGTACTGCAAAGTGAGCAGGGCTGGCTTTTACCTGAGTTTTTAAGATTTGTCCAAAAGGAAAGAAAAAAAAAAAGACAGTTACTGAACTAAGTGAAGAGAATGCATGTTCTAGACTGCACCATCATTTAGTATTTGTAAGAAGACTTGAACTATACAAAGTATTCTAAACACTGATAAGAGTAGACTGACTCCCCTTCTTGCACAAGATCTACACATGGGAAAACTCTCAAATTCAAGAAAGGAAAACAGGAAGCTCGGGGAGGAAAAGAGCAACAGACCCTGTATCTCTAACAGAATGAAGTGAATCACAGACCTACACAAAAGCTGCTCTTAAATTTTCTTGAATCCACATTCTATAGAATCAGTGGCCACAGATTAGAGTACAGCTGTTTGTGGTCACTGTGGATGATCTGAGGAGCATTCATTGACAAATGCAGGAAGCTGACAAGAAAGCATCTTTTAGATTTAGGGTCAAGCCAAATTCCAACTTACCTTCCCTGTCAGAACAGAGGGAAATTCTGTGTCAAACTTGTTGCTCAAGCCAAACCTTGAAAAAACAAAGAACAAAAAGTATTTCCACCGAACCTATATAATGTTTACAACTTTTGTTATATCTCTTTTGCATTTGAAAAAAGAAATTACTACGGTTTTACACCTCATTCAAATGCACATTAAATAATGTTATGTATAGCAGGGAGTAATCAAAGCAAGAAACATGTATGTTTCTTGTTATTAGCAAATTGTTTTAAAAATTACCAAGATACATATAAATAAGTCTTCCTCCTTCCTTCTAGGCTAATATGTCTGTCTCAATAAATTCCATCAAATTAATCAGATCTTTGAAAGATCCTGATAAACTCTGTAGGAACTCAAATAAAGTGTGTAAATTATGATATAAACTACTCAAGAATATTTCAACACTTATACTCTATTTCCTGACTTTTCTCCCACAAGTTAATAAGAGTGATGAATGATGTAATATTTTAACAAGGGTGACAAGAATCTTCCAGGATGGGATCCCAAAGCAGCATTATCTTGACTTTGCAAGCTCTGAACTTACTTAAAGGACCATATATATGACAGACATTATATACACACAGATTCATCTTTCACTCACAGAAATGACAGAAAGAACGAACTGCTGCAGATATTTTGTAGTATATACATTAAACAAGAAATATTCTCCATAGCTCAATACTTTAAAAGGAATATAAAATAATATACAAACCTAAAGTCATAGAACAAATATATCTCGGCTTCACAATGAAAAGAAATTAGGTAATAATTTGCAGCACCACTTATTGGGAGTCAGAAGCAGGATGATGAAAGTGTAATATACTGGTATAAAATACAAAACGTAGGAGGACAGGCTCTATTGATTCAACCTTCTGAAGCTGCAAGGACAAAGTCATATACAATACGGATTTTTTCTAAATTTCCCAAACAGAAGCAAAGAGGTCAAGCATTGCACCTTGCCAATATGAAGGACGTTCCATAATTGGGAGGTGATAAATAGCTTCAGAAAACAATGTATCCATTAATATTATAGAAAGTTGGAACCAATGGGTAGTCCATGCCCCTTATTCCTTAATATGGGCTCTGGCACTTTCCAGCACTAAAGCTAAGAGAGAGAAATCCATACTATTGGAGCCTACCTTCCAAAAGACATCTCCCAAAAGATTGATAGGAATCTATCAGTATAATGGCAGCCTAACCCAAGCAAGGTAAAATTCAACAATAGCCATTTCTTAAGGACTACATGTCTACCTTCTGAAGTCCAGCCTCAAGTCATCAACAACACTGAAAACAGGTTCCTAGGTGAATACATCTTTCAAGGAACAATTGTTTGTTTCATTTAAATATAATATACTTTGATTTTCTCCATAATAAACTATTATATTAGCCTTAGCCTTGTTTGTTGCATAGTATTAAACTCTCAAAATTCTCTTTGGAGCTTCTATAGAAGCAAAGAAGCTAATTTAAAACATTTCCACCTTAATTCTACACTATTCTTTCTTTCAGCTCATTTACTAATATGCTGAAAAATTATGAACACGTGTAGAACAATAGCATGACTTTGAACAAGACAGTCTTCAAACTACTGACTGTATCTAAAGTGGCAAACTTTGAAATTGTATATTACAAAGAAAAAGGAGAGGGAATATTTTTTAAATGGTTAGGTCGGTACCATTTCAGCCTTCCTACACTACATACCTACACTGCTCTGCCATATCAGAGCCTCCTATAGTAATGCTTAGCTTTTGTCAAACTTGCCAAGGTTATGGCAAACATTAAATTATATTACATTATATTGTATTACATTAATGACAGCAATAGATTAATAGCCATCCTTTTTGCAGTAACTTTTAAACAAATTTGGCACAATTGATATAAATTAATTATTGATTTTTTAAAATACATTAATATTTAGTGACTTAATTTTTTTTAAATGTATGCCTTGAAAGTGAATGTTTCAGCACTGAAGTATCACAGGAGAAAGATCAATTTAATAGCTGTCTTTCCATTTTACTCAACAACTTAAATGCAAGCTAAAGGACTGCAAATTCCTACATAATCAATTCAGTAGGGAAATGATCAACTATTACCATAGTCTCTGGAAACTGGAACCTGAAAACCAGCTTCAATGTCAACTCTACTTGAAATCCATTAATTCCAAATGAATGAGCTATCACACCATCCATGTGTGTGGATGCAAGGATACAAGTGTCTTGGAAACACATGCTATAAATATGCCCAGGAAAATGTTTGACCACACTATAACATCTACTTAGGCACTCCATTAAACAAGGCATTTAGATACAGTAGCTGATGTCCAATATTCTCATCTTATCATGTGTAATGTGTGTTTTATAAACAAATGGAGGTGGTGCTTCACCAATTAATAGCTTACTATAATTTGTGTATACAATATTAATGTATTTGACAATGAAATTATAATTGTCTTCTCATTTCAAAACCTGCATGTTTTAAAGAACCTTGCAGTCAGTTGTAAAATCTTAAATAAAACAGACTGACCTGAGGCAAGTTTTCACTAACCATCCGAAGTTTTCTGATGACTCAAGCTAACATTTATACATTCACTTGCTGAATTTTTTTAAATATATACTATACACAAATCATAACTGATTCAACTACCAAGAAACTATATGTTAAATCTCATTCTATCTGAGGGTGTCTATACTGAAGAAGGTGAGAGTGCACACAATGCACATGAAAGGGCTTTTGTAATCCAAGTCCACAGAGAATGCCCGCTGAAGGGCCCCACCTATTGAAAGGTAAGATGGAAGCTCCCCAGCCCCAAAACAGGCATTCTCCATGAGGGTTACTGTCCTCCAGAAAAGCTTTGCTCCTGAAAGCAATGGCAGCTCCTACTCTCCTGAAAATTGGGACTTGAGTGATGTTGAGTTGTAATTTTGGAACCATAAGTATATACTGTTATTATATATTATTGTAGTTTACTGTTATCATTGCACCAGCTGCAGTTGTTGTTTTTATACCCCACTAAGAGTTGCCCTGACTGAAACAGGCAATAAATTCATAAATAAATAAATAAAATATAGGGGCGGATGGTTAACCATGCTAGAATCTATTAAGGATTGAGCTGGGGAATAGATCTTTTAAAGAAAAAATAACCACACTCTGCACCTGGAGAAACTGCCAATGCTGAAAAGCAATAGCCAAAATTTGAAACCAGGGTTAATTGCTCTTTTGAAAATCCTGTGTCAGTGGTACTTGGAATGACACTATCATTCTCCTTCTGGATTACATACAACTAGAAGGGATCAACCTTGTTCTTCCCTTTTCAGCAATTGTCAAAACTTGGCACTAGGAATTGATACTCTATTGATTTGTTCAGCTGAAACCACCTCCTACTTCCTCAACCAGCAGGAAACTGCAGCCATAATGGAGAATCATTTTTTTTTAAAAATCAAGTTTCATGCAAAAGGAATCCATGCTACATCAAATTCTACTTGAACATAATTTTAGGAAAGATACAGCTAAAAAAGTAGCTAAAACAGTCTAGAAGTATTTGCACAGTTATGCAGCTATCTTGGCACCAACTTTTCATATCCCATCCAAAAAAAAAATATCTACTTGTAAAAAACTATACAAATCCTGTATTTTCATCCAATGCCTTGGCAGCACACATTGAATAATTTACTTTATCCAACCTAGCAATATCTTGATGAAATAGAGTAAATTCTCCATCACTTTGTGCCATCATGGTTATAATGACTGCTGGCTCACAGAACAGTTCAACACATTGGTGGTCATAACAACAGGAACTGATTATCTTAAAAGTGGGGGTCCTTTCAAGAAATTATACTTGAGATTCTTACCTCAAAAGAGGTAAGCATAAACTGCAAAAATCATCTAAGAATTAAGTCACTTTGCTTTGTTAAAACTAACTCATGCCGCAGTGAGACATGCACAAATTGAAACAACGTGGAGTTGTCTTTCCACTTACTCTTTCTATCTTGCTTAACAACCAAACTTCTTTCATTTTCAAAAATTGTAAAAAACTTTGGTTTTAACAAAGCTCTTCCTTTGAAAGACAGGTCTCTCCTATCTAGCTACACAATTGCTTATCTAAGTTGTTTCCTTGTAAAGATGAAATTACATTATTGTTAATTGCATGCTAAAGTCTATTACTAGACTATGATTATATGATGCTAAGGAATACGTTATGCCTAACTAAGTTCACCTGATAAAGTATTATTTGAAAAATGAGATCATAATGTTATTAGAAATGTAGATGAGCCCCAAAATCACAAAGATATGCCCTCTGGTTCAATTTATCCCCTTGCAGAAGGAGGGTCATGAAAGAAAAAACCCTTCTCAATATATGATGGCAAACATGTTTTTTTAGCTGAACAGTTTTATTAATACATAAGCTATTTAAATATGGTCCAAATATTCTGCTCACATTTATGTTATACTACACTGTCCTTTTTTTTGGGGGGGGGACTATGAAGGAATGCAAAGATAAACAAAGTTATATGTTTTGAAATTAGACTTTTTGTTACTTCTCTCAAGCCATGATCCAGCACTGGTGTGTGGGGGGATGAATATACAGGCTCCCAACAGTATGATCAAATCACCTAGGATTAGTGATACCAAGGAATACTGGCAAAGATTTCACAGTGTAACACAGTGCTTTGAGCAAGTGGGGGACACACTACTGTGTGATCTATTCAGGGGGCTCATGAACCAAAACTATAGTATAATATGGCATCTATTAAATAATGATAACTTAACACAAAGAAAGTATGGAAACAGCAATGCAGGTCTTTGATCATCCCCCAGAGCACATTTTCAGATCTTCTACAAAAGTAGACAAATTGAATTCATTAAAAAAATGTGTTGCTATTGCAGAGAGAAAGGCCTCAGAAGGAAAGAGAAGTTCTTGAACAGGGTTGCCTTAGTATTCCTCCCATGGAAACTGTATATATAACACAAACAAATCCTCTGGTTTTCCTTTAGCTCTAGGATGAAAACCATGTTTAACAACCTCCTGTCACAGGACTCCCACCTAGCCTTTAACATAGCAGAGAAAGAAGCATCTTTTGATAAAGTTGTACACATGCTCAGGAGCAAGCTATCTGGGCTACAAGAACAGCCCAAATATGGCCGGCAGCCCATAGGTCCCTGAACCAGGAGCAGCTAGTAGCTCTAGTGAAGAACCTGTTGCATCAATTTCTTTACTGAGAGGAACAATAGTAGAATCACCCATTACAAGTGCTCTGCTGGATCAGACCAAAAGTATATTTTAAAACTGAAGCTCACAAGAAGGATTTTCCACCATTTGCCTCTTGCAGCAGTAGCTACACTATCTTGGGACATGGAAGTTCCATTTTAGCCATCAAAGCAACAGTGCATGAATCTGTCTTATTTAATTCAGTGACCTTTACCACATCCTGTGATGAGAAACTTGGCAACGTGATTTTCTCCACTGAGTGAAGGACTATTTCCTTTCACATGTCACAACATTTGACTTAATGAGAAAAACAAAAATACAGTGAAAGTGTAATGTTCAATCCTATATTCATTTATTAAGGTATTACTTATAGGTTGCCCTTCATCCAAACAGTTGAAGTTGTGAACATGGCTCACCACCCCCACACATATCCACATTTTATTCTCACAACATCCCCTCATCTGATACTTTTTTATCCCAATACTCTAATACCCAAATAAGATGACAGAGAATTGCAGTCTTGCAGACTTCCTTTTAAGCAAATGTATTTAAGCTTGAAATATAAAGCAGGACTTTTGTTACTTTGCACACTTAGATTAGGAATTATATATTATCAGAGATACTATTATCATACTCTTAGAGACACTGTGTCACTTAGTGCCAGTTGCAAGACAACCCAGAAGGGTTCTTATGCTTACATTCAGCTTATGGGCTTTTCTCTACTTTTTATGTTTTAAGAGGGTGCCATCTTTCTCCTAATAACCTCTATCACTGACCTGGAGATCATTAAGAACTATTGGCTGAGTGAGGTGACAACCACAACTATACATTTAATACAGATTATGATGACATTTATATGACTTTATCTCAAAATAAATGTGCTTTTTTATATTTGCCTTGTGGATCGATAGAGTGTATTAATGGAAAGGAGAGACAAAATATAATGCAAACAAATAATAAATCAGGACAGATGAGGAACAGCCTACACATCAACCATTTGAGAATTTGGAGCTCTGTGCAGAGAACAGGGCGGGCGGAGGGGGGGGAAGCAGAATATAAAGGAATGTCTTCTGCTCCCTGAGGGGGAGAAAGCAGAGCAGGGACTCCATCCATCCAGTCACAAGAGTTATAGAGCCCCAACCACCCACCTGTACATTTTAAGGAGAAACTGTATACATAATAAAGAAATTGGAACATGCATCTGAAAATGAGCAAAGGAATTAACAAACATTGAGAACACTGAAGAAAAATAAGGAGAAAGTTGCAGGTAAAATGTAGAATACATTGTATCCCACAGAAGTGAAGGCAAGAAATTGAAGTCATAAATTCCGAGGCAAGGAAAATCCTGCGTAATTTTAAAAAAAAATACACAGAAAGATTACTCTATGGAGTCCTTGGGGTTCTCTGAGCTTGGTTGTTTTCTTGCAAATGTTTTGTTACCCGGCTAGGTAACATCTTCAGTGCAATCCTATATTCATTTATTAAGGCACTGAAGATGTTAGCCAGGTAATGAAATGTTTGCAAGAAAACAATCAAGCTCAGAGAACCCCAAGGACTCCACAGTTCAACCCT